GTTCTTAATAGGTAAAACCTTTTTCAAGATATACGAATAGTTTCTTCAGATTGTAGTACCATTTAAGAATTTTTTAAAAATAAAATTAAAGCGGTCCATGTACTAAAACGTTTTTCTATTGGAAGTAATAGAAAATAATCGGATTACGTACAATAAGCATATTTTGCAGATCCAGAAGAAGCAAATAGTATCAACTCTTTTGAAAAAATTAATAAACGATGTTTTTAGATATTCTTACTGTGGCTGTAAAAAAGTAGAAAGTAAGAAACGAGAGAAACGTTCCACTTCACTCCCTTGCCACACGTGTCGAGGTCTCGTTTAGCTTAAGCAACTTCATTGCGTCGTTAATACTCTCTCTCGTCTCTCCAAAAGAGCCCGTTTGTATCATCAGCACTCTCCTCTCTCGAATTAATTCTGATCTTCTTCTCCTCACAAAGACGGATATGGTTTTCAAGGTTTCTCTCGTCTCCACATCACCTATCGATGGCCAGAAACCTGGAACTTCTGGTCTCCGTAAGAAGGTTCGCCGATCTCCGATTTCTCCATTTGTTCTTCTGAATCGAACGAAATTGGATTGCTGAGTTTCTTACGTTTTTGCATCTGATCGTTGATCCGATCTGTTTCATTTGTTCGGTTCCTATCGAACTAATTTTAGATCGTTTTCGCTGAATTTGATCTATGCATTTGTAGACAAGTGAACTGTGATGGATCGTTTTTTTTTTTTTTTTGGAATATTGATTTATTTGGATCAACTTCGAGATCACGTTTTTTGCTTCAATTGCTATGGTGAATGTTAAACAAACCTGATACAATTATATATACATGGAGCTTGCCGTTACGTGTTTGGATTGATGTGGCGAAATGGAGACTAGGGAAAATTGTAGTTACTATCCTCAGATCTTTATTTATCATTGATTTTTTTTAGTACAAATGATCTAGTGATGATAGCTAAGGAAATCATATTTAGACTCAATGTTCAGCCATGTTGGATCTGTTTTTTAAATATGTTGTCCTTTGTTTGGTCTACTCTCTGCAGACATCAAACTAGCATCGTTTTGTATCTCTGATTGTTGTTATTGTTTGTTTTTCTGTAGGTCAAAGTGTTCAAGCAACCCAATTACTTAGAGAATTTTGTCCAAGCAACTTTCAATGCTCTTACACCAGAGAAAGTCAAAGGTGGGAATTGTTTAAGTCAGAGGTGCTTGTTAAATAACCCTTCTTAGGCAGATAGCTGCTCATTCCAAAAATTCATGAGTTGTTCATCTCTGCACAGGCGCCACACTCGTGGTCTCTGGCGATGGCCGTTATTACTCAAAGGATGCTGTTCAGGTAAAACCAATGTGATTCCTTGTCTTCTTATTTGTCTCAATGTAATTGGTGTGATCCCTTGTCTGTCTGAATGTAATTTCTAATACTTAGCGAGTAATTAATTAATGTTTATGTCGCTACTTGCTATGTTGGAAAATGAACCTTAAGTTATCAAATTTATCAACAAAAACGATACCTACTTGAGATAAGCATATTTGGGAAGGCCTGCTATTATCAATGTCTCAAACATATATTTTTCTATCTATCTCTAAAATTTGCATGAAGCTGATTTCTGAAACTTGCTAGGAAGTCTTCTTAACTTCAGTTTTGTTTGACCGGCTCTTGTTCAAATCCGGTTCCTGATATTTCAAATGACGATAACTGTTTATACAAATTCTTTCCTATCTTCACAGATCATAATTAAGATGGCAGCAGCTAATGGTGTACGACGTGTGTGGGTTGGTAAAAACACTCTGTTATCAACTCCTGCTGTTTCGGCTGTGATTCGTGAAAGAGCAGGGGCTGATGTGAGATATCTTTCTCTGATCTCATGTTTTGGTTTTAGTGATCTTCAAATTTGCATCATGAGCGTAAATTGTAATGATGGCGATGAGAGACTAATCCTAGTCTCGGTTACAGGGATCAAAAGCCACGGGAGCATTTATCTTAACAGCAAGTCACAATCCTGGTGGCCCTACTGAGGTCCGTTCTCTTCTTGTTCTGGCTCTATTGTGCTCTGCCCCTTTCAGTTGAGCCGCTCGTTTGGTATCCCTTTATTGTTTCATCATGACTAAGAGTTGATCCATGTTCCTTATTATAGGATTTTGGAATCAAATACAATATGGAAAATGGAGGACCTGCTCCTGAATCAATCACTGATAAGATTTACGAGAACACTAAGACAATCAAGGAGTACCCAATAGCAGAAGATCTACCAAATGTATCTAAACATTTTCAAGAATCCTCGTATTTGGCAACATATTTACCATCATGTCTTTTATTGAATTATAGTTGATCTGGTCGCTGTGATTTAATGCAACAGGTTGATATTTCTTCCCTTGGTGTCACCAGTTTCGAAGGACCTGAAGGAAAATTTGATGTTGAAGTTTTTGACTCTGCAGATGACTACGTTAAATTAATGAAGTGAGTGTTCCCTCAGTTTAACAGCACGATTCCAGAATATGCTCATATGCAATCTCTGTGAACTTTCTAAAATACTTTTTCGTGCCTTCAAGGTCAATCTTCGACTTTGAGTCCATCCGGAAATTGCTTTCGCCTCCAAAATTTACATTCTGGTAATGTAGCATACAATGGTTCCCAAACCTTCTCCATCAGAGCTAAAATGCTAACACATGTTCCATAGTCATAATGTTATTTTTTATTTTGTTCTATGAAGCTATGATGCATTGCACGGAGTTGCTGGAGCCTATGCGCACCGCATCTTTGTAGAAGAACTCGGTGCACAAGAAAATTCGTTATTGAACTGCACACCAAAGGTCTTATTTTCGTCTAACCAAAATTTACTATTGCTTAAATGATTACAAATGCACCTCCAGCCTCACCATTTTCCATGCTACAACAATTTGTAGGAGGACTTTGGAGGAGGGCATCCAGATCCCAATCTGACCTATGCTAAGGAGCTTGTGGCACGGATGGGATTGGGTAAATCTGAAACTGGAGTTGAACCTCCAGAGTTTGGTGCTGCAGCTGATGGTGATGCAGATCGTAACATGATCCTCGGTAAAAGGTAGCTTATTAATTTTCTTTTAAGTGGGATACATACATGGAGCGGGTATAGCAAGTACTTTTTTAACTTAAATTATCTCTTCTTCTTAGGTTCTTTGTAACTCCTTCGGATTCAGTCGCCATAATTGCTGCAAATGCTATTGGGGCCATACCGTACTTCAGCTCTGGGTTGAAAGGTGTTGCAAGGTATTATATACTTGGGCTGTTTCTTTATTTGCTTCGAGCAACTTTAAAGAATCTGAATTTTGTGTAGACAGCTGTTTTAAGATGATATGTTTCGCATGTTTTTAACTTCCACTTTCTTTGTTTTAGGAGCATGCCGACCTCAGCTGCTCTTGATGTCGTTGCAAAGAGCTTAAAGTTAAAGTTCTTTGAGGTACAAGTCACTGTGCAACTTCTTTCTAGCTTATTTTCGTCCTAACTTCATAAAGTAATTCACCTATCCAATAAAATCAAATATCAGGTTCCAACAGGCTGGAAGTTTTTTGGTAATCTGATGGATGCCGGGATGTGTTCTGTCTGTGGGGAAGAAAGTTTTGGAACTGGTTAGTGTCTATAGCTACACTTGCACATCTGTTAACAACCTTAAAACAACCGATATGGTTCTGAAATAAAGCTCTTTCACAGGCTCGGATCATATTCGTGAGAAAGATGGAATCTGGGCAGTTCTTGCGTGGCTTTCCATACTTGCTCACAAGAACAAGGAAAATCTTGACGGGAACAGTAAACTGGTGACGGTTGAAGACATTGTCCGCCAGCACTGGGCTACCTATGGCCGTCACTATTACACTCGTTACGACTATGAGGTAAAACTTGCTAAGTTTGGTGAATGTATTATATACCATATTAGGCAGGACAAACACAAATACCCTTAATTAGTGATATCATAAAATTTGTCTCCAAAGAATGTAGACGCAGCTAAAGCTAAGGAACTGATGGAGCACTTGGTCAAATTGCAATCTTCAATTCCTGAAGTCAACAAGTTCGTACACTTCTGCTTCTCTGCTTGAACGTACTCATCATTTTGGTACTCAGTTTTCCTAATGTCATTTCTCTTTTGCTTTGTATTCAGGATTGTGAAAGGAATTTGTTCGGATGTGGCGAATGTCTCCAGTGCAGATGAATTTGAGTACAAAGATCCCGTTGATGGCTCCATCTCGAAGCACCAGGGAATCCGTTACTTGTTTGAGGATGGATCACGACTTGTAAGTCATCTTTTCATTGATTTCGAGCTTATAGACATTCCAACCAGAATAAAATGAGACATATTATAACCCAAGAATCTATAAGAATCATCATACTTTGTCGGGTTGTAGAAAAAAAAAACTAACTATTCAAGAACATCAAAACATCTAGAAAGCATATAGCTTAACGTATAGGAGAAGCAAAACTAATAAAATCTCTCTTGTTCTATGTAAAACCATATGAAGGTATTCCGTCTCTCTGGAACTGGCTCAGAAGGAGCAACCATCCGGCTTTACATTGAACAGTACGAGAAGGATCCTTCCAAAACCGGCCGAGAATCCCAGGAAGCTCTGTCTCCTCTGGTCAGATTTCTAACCCATAAATTATTGAATTAACACCAAGAGGGTATGTTCTCATCTAATCGTGGAATTATTGTCGATGCGTGATTCTCAGGTTGACTTAGCTCTGAAGCTGTCCAAGATGCAGGAGTTCACCGGCCGATCAGCCCCCACCGTCATAACATAAGAACGGTCAAGTTCAACGACCCAAATCATACACTTTTTGTATGCATCTATTTATGGGATGCTTTCTTCTCATTATATGAATAATTAGTCTCAGGGAGACTTATATTTCCTGTCGGAATTCTGAACATTCCTGACCATTTTCTGTTGTCAGTGCTGCAAGTACAAAGACAAGGGTTTCTGGTTAATAAAAATGTTTCCTGCTTGTGGAAAACCTAGGCAAAATTATTTTTCTATAACTTAACAACAATTACCGTCATATTCCGGTGTTGTTTCCTCCACCCTTGGGTCTGCTCCGGGCACAACATACGACCTTCCGTTAACAGTAAACGGAGCCCTACACTGACATTGATAGCTTGTAACAGCCTCAGGTCCAACTGTTGCGTAGATCGGGAGTTCAGGATAGTTGTCATGAGCCGACATGTAGTAAAGTACATCGGAGTCCGCCAAGATGTTAATCGGAGGTGTTTTCCTTCCGTCGGGAACAAGCATTCACTCCGGGTACTGGTATGTGAGAACAACCGGAGTTGTGTGAAGCAGCAAGTACCTCGTTCGAACCACTCCCATCAATGACTCCAAAGTCTCATTTTCCCATATCATCACTCCGAACCCTCGGTCCGAAGGGTCGTACTTAAAATCCCACTCTCCGGTCTCGGCTTTCACCCAAATGCCACGAACTAGTCGTACAAGCTTTCCCATCTGCACATGATTTATAAGAAACATATCTTATTAAGTTACCGATTTCACTTCACCAACGAAAACTCATTCAAAAATTTATATGTTTCGAAAACTAGAGCATTAAAGGTGTTAGTAAATGGTAGATCTTTATTAATTTTGCCGTAAATAGCTAACAAACAAAATAAAGAACCAACGCCAAGTGGGGACAAACTTTTCGCGGTAGGTGGGGAATTTTGCTTTTAAGCTGTTTTCTTTGGAGTCCAAGATTTTTATTTTCTGATACTTCTTGGCTATGGCGAAAGAAGATCTTGTAAAAGGTGAGGGAGAGTTAATGAAGGTTATTATAATTTATTGACAGAAACTTGCCTCCC